AAGAGAATCTCTCAACTCTCACCATTTGATCACGCAACGTGACAACATCCACGCGAGAGCCTCCGACATGCGCGTGAATTCGCGCGGATATATGACGTCAGGATGGTGCAATTTGTTCTAAAAATAGAAAAATTGTCCCTTATCATAGGTGCGCGCGAATCCCGAGACTTACGGTCTCCGTCCCCGATTATGGCTCCTGGTCCATGGTCTCTTGTGCGCATTTCCACACCGTTGCCACCTCCCCCTCCCTAAGGAGCTCTGCAGAGTAGAGAGGGCTTGCTAAATGTTTGTTTCTCTCTAAACCAATTAACTCGATCCTGTTCTATCTCAACGAAGACTGACAGGTTCAACGCAATACGATATGATAAATAGAAATAAATTAAGTAAAACACTTATGCAGCGTCTACACCACGCCGGCGAAATTTGAAAACGCAGCTTTATTTCTACGGCTTGGCCTACCGCCCACGCTCTGAATCTGTCACGAAACGGAGCTTTTCGAAAACGCTCCTCAAACCGCGCAGGAGCTTTGCGTTTTCCTGTAGACAGAAAACGTCTTGAAAATGCAGGTTTTCGTAAAAGATGACGAGACAATCATGTGATTTTCCTGACCGAGGTTTCCTCAAACACCAATCCAAAATGGCCGCTGATTGTTGCGCTTTTAAATTCCGGGGCCTTAGGCTGCATGGAAGATATGTCATTTTATCTTACATGCGATGACACACCAGCTGACCTACGGGTATTCCAATAAATTAAAATTAAAAGTGAATGATATAATATATGAGTAAAAATTGTAAAAAAAATCTTAGGCAGGATCATGAAATGCAATATAAAGTAATTATACTTTCTGTTGAAAAAAACCCGAAAGCCTGACAATCGAGGAGTTAATACTAAGTAGTAAGTTAGGTTAAAAGGCCCTAAAGGTCAATGTTCTTCATACTGAGTTTAAGGCCGGAAAAATTCTGATAGTTCGTTGTGATCTGGTAATAAGTTCCACAGCTTTGGCGCTGGATAACGCCACCATTTCAGGCTGTAGGTAAAGGTGTTGACCTTTGGCAATCTAATTTTAGAATTTCATTTCCCCTCAGATTGTATCAAGAATCAAGACTTTATTTATCCATGGTAAAGATTAAAGCTATAAGCTTATGGCACTAACATAGCCGTGCACTAAAATAAAAGAAAAAAAAAATACTGTAACATGCTATTATTACAATTAATTCAAAAATATGTTATAAAAAATCATACAATTAAAACTTCTATCCACAATTATTAAATC